CCCTTGCCCCCCCGCTCCCCCTCGACCCCCGCCGCCATCTCCCCCTACCAGGTTGGCCGACTGCGAGGCCGCTCCGTGGTCCACTACGTTGATGAACTCGAGCTCGTCTTCGGGCTTGGACATGGTGTGTCTCCGTCCCTTGCGGGGGTTGGGTTTGGAAGCGGGTTCGGGGAAACGTGGGGTTGATGCATACGCGAGGAATATGTAGCACATGCAAGCCGCTGTTGGGGGGAGGGGGGGTTGTACTCATAGGTCATAGCTATGCATGCCGTTGTCGTTGCACACCGTTGACCTCACATTCCTACAAAGCCGGGAGGGACTGAGCACGCCGGGTTCTCACAGGCGGACCAAGCTCTTACGTCACCAAGCAAGGTGTGAGCGGGTAACATAGTTTTTGAGGAAGAACCGCACAATTGCTTGAAACTTGGGAACTGCCAGGGCGCCTCGACAGGGGTTCCGTGTCCCTTGAAGCGAGCGACAAGGTGCACGTGTGCGGCGAAACTCGGCTTGCACACCAGAGTGAACGGCTGTGCGTACGTAGGTGCGGGCTTGAGGTTCGTGTTTTTGCCGCAAAATCGTTACAGGCCGCGGCGGGACGGCAACAACAAACGTAGGTGGGGGGTGTACTCATAGTCGTGCATGCCGTAGTCGTTAGACCATTGACCTCGCATCCCTACAAAGCCGGGACGGAGCACGCCGGGTTCTCACCGGACCAGGCTCTCACATCACCAAGCGCGAAGCGCCGTGAGATATTCGGCGAGTCGCATGAAGGGTGCGCTGCATCCTGCTAAGGGTGTTCGGCATCTTGTGCTTACTTCCTTGCGTACGGATGACAGCTGCGTATGACTTAATTTATTTTCTGGTGCTTTCACTTCCAGAGACAGTTGTAAGCACTGTGTAACTGCCTTGAGGGTGCTTGACCACTTTAACACAACGTGGTGCGATGGTCCCCCTTGCGCGGAGTGAGGGTTCTCCACCCCGCACAACATGATCTACTCGACCACCATTATGGTTACCGCCAAAAAAAAAAACGGAGGTAAAAAAAAAAACGGTAACCTGGTTGCCGAGTTCACGAAGTGAATTGGCTTGTTTTACAACGTCGTTGCCAAGCGACGAAAACCCAACCCCGATGGCGAACACCGGGGGGGGGGGCGTACTCTTATGTTTTGCATGTCTTCGCGGTTAGACCATTGACCACGCGTCCTCGAGAGGACGGAGCATTGTTCCCACAGGACCGATCACCGATGGCCAATCGTTCCTGGGGGGGTAACAAACGTAGGTGGGGAGGGTTGTATGGGTTTTGCATCTTGCGCGCTAGAGCGAGAGGGAAGGCTAAGCGCGCGCGGGGGAGGGGGGATCCCTCAGGCCAGTTGGTACAAATATCACCATGTCCTGTGTGCGCCCCACACGCATAACTGTGTCATTCGATCAATTGTTTCATTCGGAACGGATTTTGATGAATATAAGAAGGAAGCACACTTCTCCCTGGACGATCAACCAGAGAATGCATGCCCTGCGAAAAAATCCTATAACACACTGAGGTTCAGACAAACGATCCGTCCCTCGCCGTCTGTCACTATATATAGTAGTGGTCCTCGCTGCCTCCCGCTCCGGGAGTTTGTACAGCAGTAGCGTAGCGTGCATGGGGCATTACAGAATTCGTCCTGGTTTTTCCAAGAAGACCGCGGAAGGTTAAGCTTGTTGTCATACGCAGCTGAAGCAGTTCGCCAAGTACCAGCTACAGCGGACAGACCTACCTGGCAGAATACCCGTTACACTCTTCCACAAATGAGGAATGAGGAGACTCAGCTTAGCACTACACTACACCAGTAGACCCATCAGCAGACCCGGAGCGGAGGGATTCACGATACAACTCCACGGCATCTCGTTGTGCGCCACATGTCGTCTTGCAAACCATTCGTCTGTACCGCTACGTCTCGTTTGGTACGCTGAGGCTAGGTGAGGACTAGCAGAGAAAGGTGGGCAATGCGTGTCGGGTACTTGCCATTTTGCCTTTTTGCCATCAACACCCGATGGTTCGGCGGTGGGGATTGCGCAGCCAGGTGGAGCGTGTGACGGGTGCTTGTAACAAGCGGTTGTCAAACTTCCAAGGTGTGTTGTAATATGGAACAAAGATTGGTTTCGTCTCTAGCGTACTTGGTCCACTACACAGAGCAGTTTGCAAAAGCCACCGAACGCAGCATATCATCAACATTCTGTGCTCGCAAGGGACTCCCGGCAGAAGAGGAAAGCACCGCGTGCGGTAACACGCAAGCTTTTGCCAAATAGCCACCCTCAGCCTGAACAGGGTCTATGTTGGGTGCGGAGAAGCAAGCCAGATATACAAGCTGGCAGAGCCTATCACCAACTACCAAAGTAGCACGCGATCCCATCGTGAGACGCTATTTCATAGCTCCTCACCCTTCCCCGATGCCCCTGCTGTCGTTCCTCCTCTCGTTGATCCGGAATCTGTGTCCACCCCCCTGCCTGTGCCGCCGGCCTGGCGTCCCGCTGGTCTCACTTCCTTGGGGGCTCCGGTGTATCGTGTGATTTGGTTCTCAAAGGGGGGAGCTCACTTCCTCACAGGTTTTAAAAAACGCGTGGGGCCGGGACAAAGCAGGGACAGGGGGGAGAGCAGAGAAAGCTCGTGGTCATTCACTACTGGAGCTATACGGGCTTCAGACTGTGCGGGTGCGGAGCCATTCACCCGGAGGCTGCCAGAGCTCGACTTGATCATCATCACATCAGCTGCGAACTCTTATTGCTAATTTGATTTTCGATCAGAGCAAGGCAACCGGCCCAGTGTTGGCTGTTTAGGGCTGCTGGGATGATTTCCTTCGAGAAGGAGAGCGACCGCCAAGCCATGGAGAACGTTAGGGAGTTCAGGAAAGGCTTACTGTGCAGTATATGGTGAGTGGAACAGTCAACGAGTATTCTGCCGTTGTTTCAATAATTGGCACGGTAGAATCACACATGTCCATTTTCAAAATCTCTCGTTGTGAATCGCGATGCACCAACCGCTCGGCACATTATCAACCAGAGATGGGCAGCATTTGCTGCAACACGAAAAGTGGCTTTCTTACTTTATATCTCCTTTCCCGAACCGACCTTTCCCTTAGTTGTCACGGCGACCATGCTGGCGCACGCCTTTCCTTTTGAGCAAAAACGGCCGTTTCAAGATTATTGGAGCGTACTGAGCGGGCCTTCCCAGTGGCCAACTCCTGTAATGTAGATGTCGTGGCCTACGGACAACGTATGGTTTGCTTTTGGCATGGTCGTCGTCGGGAGTACTCGAGCTTTCGACACTGCCCGTCCCGCGGATGTGGTATCTAAGGCAACCTGCGGTGCCCTATTACCCTGTGGCTTGCCGTGGCATCTATGGAGGTCAGCTTGTTGCTTCGAGTCAAAATGCAGATGATCTTGGTACCCAGCAGTAACGGGTCGTACTTGCCTGGGACGTGGGTAATCTTGTATCCAGTGGCAGCAGGCTGCGGGCTCGAACCCCTCTCTGAAGCGAACAATAACAAGCTAAAATTCTTTGGTGGAAAGCGATTTATTCGTGAGGATGCATCGCACTTGTAACAGGGAAGGGACTGCTGAACCTTTGCCGCGTTGAAAATTGAAAATTGAAGGCAGGCATCGAGGTGACGGCGGCGCACCTTCTCCTGTGTGACTTGTCTGATATACACATGTCGCATGAAGACTCTACATACAGGTGTTCTTTTTGGTTCGTTGAGGTTCGCGGGGCTCTTCGAGTCGATAACACGTCAGATTTGTGATCTGTTTGAGCCGGGGAAACGTCACACCGCACCTAGCAGCCAGCTGTGGGTTGGTCCTGCTGCCTGCTTTTACGATCATCTTGCATCTTCCCCCTTGCTGATACTGTGCTCTCATGAGCCCACTCCAGGGGGATCACTTCCATACCATACAGTGCTGAACGACGAGACGAGAACATATTACAAGCACACTTGCTTGTCCTTGTCACCCCCCTCGCCACCCCCTGCTGCCCTTCCTCTGCCGCAGCAACGAGTTTCTGAGCGACACTTACAACCTTCCCTGCGGACACAGCTTCTGCCGAGAGTGCATCGACGATGCTTTAGCCGAGAGGAACTCGTGCCCTGACTGCATGAACCCCGCGTGGCAAAAGGATACCCTGAAGATGGCTCTCACGGTGAGCAGCATTCCTCAAGTTCGAGGCTTCTCGAGACACCCCCCGAAACAGGACAATTGCTGGTCTGTTGCTATTTTAGTGGCGAAGGATCGATAGGCTTGCCCCGTCCTACATGTGAAATCGTAGGGATGCGAGGTGTATTGTCGCAGAGATTCCGACCGTACAACATGATGCAAACCTATCCCCCACCCGGCCTGGTGCAAAGCACGCAACAGTAACGAATCTCCGCCGAGTGGAAAAAAGGAAGAAGGTTGTACTGGTTGTGGGTGTTTTGCACGCAGAGACGTTCTTGCGTCTCCAAGGAGACCAACTGCAGCAGCAATAGTTCGGTTCAAAGCGAACGTTCCTTGCCGGGCCGTGGGTGAGCTGTAGCTCTAACCGTTTCCAAGGCCGCTCGAGAAGATCGCGCTTCTATGTTTTTCCCATGATATCATTGTTTACCATCCCTGTTAACGAACAAAATTATCATTCCCAAATATAAGAAATCCCCTCGACTTGGCACCCGAAACCTGTGTAGGGCAGTACCAGAAAGGCTACCAGAGACAAGAATTTGCTAAGCATCAGCTTGCGCCCCACTTTCCCTATGCCTTTTATTCCTCTTGAACTCAATCGTCATGAGCAGGACAGCACCGTGCAAGACTGGGTAGTCCATTGCGAGCGGCTCTACCAGGCGCACGTTGCTCTGCAGGCCGCACGGGACCGGGAGAGCAGCGACACCGACAGCGGTTTGGCTCTCGTTGAGGCCTCCTCCGGAGACGATGAACGGGGGGGCATCGACATCGGCGACAAGGAGGGGGGGGGGGACAATGTGGCCCCCATTCCGGTCCCATCCGCGCTGCCGCCGCCGCAGCAGCAGCAGCAACCGCCGGCGCGGCAGGTGGCGCCGGAGAACGAGGGGGTCGTAGGGGCAGCAACAGCGGCAGCACCACCACCGCCAATGCCCGCTGCCGCGGAGCCCCTCCCCTGCCGTTCGTTGAAAGTAGCCGAGAAGGAGAACAACGCGGCATCGGGGTCGTGGGGAGCCGCCACTGCGACTTCCTCTGCTGGTATGTCGGTTGCAGCAGCAGTACCTGCCGTCGGTGTCGTGGGGGTCGAACGAGCGGCCGCGTGGAGCTCTTCCCCCTCCTCCTTCTCCGGCGGGAACAGAACACCTCGCGTCAGGTTCCAACCGTCGCCGCTGCGCGCCTGCGCTGCCCCTTCCGAAGCCGGCCAGGGAGGTCCCGGTCTTCAGGAGGAAGGTTCCTGTCTTCAGGAGGAGGAAGCAAGCGTTCATTCCTTGCGAGAGAAGCTTCCGCCTGCGGCCGCCGTCACCAAGCCGCGTAATTCCTCGCCGTTGGTGTTGGAAGGCACCGTTAAAGCCGGCGACATTGTGGATGTCAGGCTTCCCACGGAGGGGGAAAAGCTGCGGTCTACCCCGGCGGCGGCGCCGTTGAAGCGGAGCGTTGCCAACACGGCCGTGGCTTCGCCGCCAGGTACAGAATCTGAACGCCGGGACTCTACGCCGCCACGGGGCACCCTAGTCGTGGCCGCGAAAAACCCAGAGCCGTCGCCGTCGGTCGTGCCTGAGAAAGCAGCTGCCGTTGAACGTGAAGAAGCCGGGTTCAGTTTTGCCGTCGGCCTTCCGGATACGTGCGACATCTTCGATGCCGAATCGTCGCCACCGCACTCCCCGATAGCGTCGACGACGACGACAACCACGATGGTTATTCTCACACCGCCTACCCTGAAGCCCGGTGGCCCCGAGACAACAGCGGCGGTGAGTTCGCCGAGCTTGAAGGCGAGAGGCCCACGCGCAGGAGCTTCAGCGGCTTGTTCTGTTGGTGCTAGACCGGGCGTTCGCGTAGGAGCGGGCGGCGAGCACGGTAAGGATGACAATGCGAGTTTGGGTGGAGAAACCGGGAGCCACCGCCACGGGAAGGATGCCCGCGCGATGCCAGAGGAGAGCCGGGACGGTGAGCGGCAATCACCCCCACAAACCCAAGGTGTATTGGATGCGTCTTCGGGGGACCCTCCCTGCCCGACAAGCAAGCCGGGAATCAGTGGCACCTCAGCCGAAGGGGGAACCAGCACAGACGTGGGAGTGGACGGGGGCGGAGGGGGACTTGGAGGTGAGCACCTCGGCGAGGAGATCGAGGGTACCCTTGGCGGAACAGGCAAAAGCTCGGGATTTGAGGGCAGCCTCCGTCCTCTCCCGGCGCGTGGAGCCAGTGCAACAGACGTCGATCGCTCTTGTGCCGATGTAGGGGTGGAGTTGGGCGACTCAGGGAGCGAGAACGAAGTCTCGGACGCCGAAAGTGTTCCTCTGCTGGGCGCCAACGACAGGTTAAAGGACGTAAACGGGCAGAAGCTGCAGCAGCAGCAGAAGCAGCAGCACGGTTCCGGGCGAACATCGCCGTCGGACGGGGTGCCTAGCCCATCTTCGCGGAGTCCTTCGGCTGGTAGCGGAGTTGATCGACCGGACGAGACGACGGTTCGGCAGAGGGGCGTAGCTGCCAACGACGAGGACGGAGAGGAAACCTGCGACGAAGCCGACTCGCTCTCCAACTATGGAGGCTCTCGTGCGGCGCTTGGTGATTGCGGGCGAGGGGAGCAGCCGACCACAGGCGTAGAAGACGAGCGGGCAAACGAAGCCACGAGTTCGGAGGCAACGGGGTCGTCGAAAGATGTTGATCCGTCCTTTTCCCCATCACGAGTTCCGCTCGTCCTCACCAACGGGGGTGAGGTTCCGAAACGACCTGCAACTCACGGCGCAGCTTCGGGGGCGGCCGAGAAGGCGTCTCCAGCGAAGGGTGCGGGTGTCGTTGATTCTGTCCGACCAGCTTGTCAAGCACCGACGGCTTCTCCGCGCCACGACAAGCTCTTATCGGATGAGCAACCCTCCGCCGCTGTGCCGCCAAAGGAAGCAGAATCGTCGGGTACGACGCGGGTGGATTCTCCGCAGCCGGTCTCGAGAAGCCTACAGCATCCGCAAGCTTTCACGGCTCCGTCGGAAGCGTCGGTGTTGCACGACGAGCAGAGCGCTGCTAAGGGCGATGTTCTTGCGAGGCGGGAGGGGCGAAGCCTCGACGGCGGAGAGCTTTGCGTCGCGGAGACCCTCCCTCAGACGCCGGGACTCGGCGGAGATGTGCTAGGCAAGCACGCGGTGGTAGCGTCGCCGGGGGATGACGGTGACACAACGGTGCCCGAAACTTCGGTCCAGGGGAGTCTCGTGACGGACGTCCTAGAGATAAACCAGCCGGAGTCGTTGGCAGGAGGCGTTAGCGCTGACCCGGCGGGAGGCACCCCCGTGGTGGAGCAACCAGGGAGAGGAGGCGTGGGCGAGGCTTTTGAAGGGGATAAGGAGGGCCCAAACGTTGCTCGATTCGAGGTTCCGGACAGCTGTGTTGCCCATGCCGACGGCCAGGAAGAGCACCACGCGAGTGGCGGGGGCACAGCGTCTGACGGGCTCGATGGGCGGGGGCCCGTGCGAGCGGAGCAGCTCGGCGACAAGAACACGCGGGGTTCTGCTGTCGCTGCCGCTGCTCTTGCTGCTCCGCCACCGGGCGTGAAAGGTGGAAGTAGAACGCCCTCGAGCCAGGCGGCACCTCTCCAGCAACGGCGATCACCAGAGAACGCGACGACCCGTGTAGTTCCTCCAGGACTCAAGACGGGGAGCTCAGCAGACGGGCGACTGGGGCGCGATTCAGACGAAGTGCCAGAGACCCTACCGTCACAGCGGGTCGGCATGGATGCCGGCGATGGCAGAGGGAGCTCTGCGGCCGGTCCCGACGTTTGTTTGGCCACTCAGGAACGATCGGAACAGAGAGAATCAACTAGGTGTTCAGACGATCACGGGCCGGAGCTTGGGCGGAGAATACATGAAACTGCCGCTCAAATCAGCACCACCCAGGAAACCCAAAGCCTTACTACGCAGGAGGTGCCGGAGACGGCGCATGCGTGGGGTGGTGTCGGGGCTTGCGGTGGGAGTAGCTCTTCACGAATCGAGGGGGTGGCATCGGCGGCGAGCGGCAATTACTCTCAATCAGAGGTCCTTGAAACCGAGCAGCTGTATGGAGGGGCGACCCAGAGCACCGCAGATTGTGGGGGAGGGGTTGGCGCCAACGGCGTCGGTGACGGCGTGGAAGAGCAAGATGCAGCGCGATTCAGGGGTGGGGCCATTGCGCAGTCGCCGCCGCCGCCGCCGCCGCCGCCGCTGCCGCCGCCGCCGCAGCAGCAGCAGCAGCAGAGCAAGAGTATGTCGCCATCATCGTCGACGTTGCCGGCGGAAGCCGTGGTCGGAGGGAGAAGCAGGGACGAGGTGGGTGGGGTCAAGGGCTGTGCTGGACTTGGAGATGGCGAGAAGCCGGGTGGAGCGTGGGCGTCTCCCGGATCGCTCCGCGCCGACGAAGCGGCCGATGTCCACGGAGGGGTTTGCGACGGGGGCAGTCCAGCGAGCTTTGTGCCGACGGAGAGGACACCGGATGATAGCAGGAACCGCAAGCGATCGGCCGATTACGCCACCCTTTCCCCCAGCAGCGGGCTTTCCTGCGACCCGGGGAATGCCGGGAAACGAACAAGGTTGACGCTGCCGCCCGACTCTGCGGCAAACCCCTCCGCGAGGCCCAGGGAAGCCGCAAGCGACGTGGAAGCCTCCTGCAACGACGACAAGCCGCCGGATGGCGGTAGCCCGTGGCAAGATGCAGGGCGGGGCAACCAGCAGGGCCGCCCGATCGCTCTTCGAGGGGGCAGCGGCCCTCCGGGGAGCGACGACGAGAGCGAGATGCCCGAGACCGACCACGACCTAGCTGCCGTGCAGGACGCCTGGCTCGTCGAGGGAGGTCACGAGTTTGGCGACGACGGCGGGTACCTGGAAGACCAGGCGGAAGAATCGGGATCGGGTCGTCTTCCTTCCCCGGCCGGCGGTGACTCCCCCCCCCGGAGGCCCCGAAAGAACCAGGAGGTCGACAACCCGTACGCCCCACAGGCCCACCTTAATTTGAGTCACGGCCGCGACGATTTTCAACCCGCCGCCAGCGCCGACGGGATGATGTCTCCATCTGTCGGCGGTGTCGAAGCTAAGAAGCCTCGCAGCTCTCGTACCGCCGCCCGCCGTCCTTCGAAGAGCACCATGGGCTTCGGCAGCCCAAGCTTTGGCGGTGCCGCCCGCGCTTCGCTGAGCTTGAGCGGCTCGAGGTTTGCCGCCAGCCTGAACGACAGCAATCGCCGCCCCATCAAGAACAAGATTTTGGCGGCCGGACGGGAGCATGGTCCAGGCGGAACGACACCAGCCAGCCTCTCGGTGCCGGACAAGAGCGGTACTTGGTCGTCGTTCAATGACCTGGGACCGGATACCGAGGTGCGTTTCTTGGTCGTGATTTGTGTCTGTAGGTAGGCTAGGGGAGAGTCCGCCATCGGCCTCTGTGATGTTATGTCGATGGTGACGGTTCAGATCAATTTACAGTACAGGTAGAACAGCAGGACCTGTTCCTGCATCGACGGGACGATGCTCCCTCCGCTCGTGATACCGACAGCTGGTTCGGCAATGGGCCGGCAAGTTCCAAGGCAGGTTTTCGAGATATATACGAGGCGCTCCTCCCCGCCCCCCCCGCCCGTTCTTGCTGTGCCCCCCGCCCGCCGCGACTGTCACATTCTTTCATGACTTGCCTGTCCTGTGTCCGGCTTACAGCCCTTTCCTTCCTTGAAAAAACATTTTTTCAGGAAGTGGAAAACCTGCAAGCCCGCCTTGCGGACAAACGGGCGCAAGAGAAGACGGCCGCAGGCCCGGCAGCTTCGGAGACCAACTCGTTTGACCCTAGCGACACCGAGTACGACGAAGGGGGAGAAAACGACGACGACGACAGCTGGGCGGGACGGGGGGGGCAAAGTCGCGGTCATCGCCAAGGATGGGATACGCGGGCGGATTCCTCGTCGGAGAAGAAGCGCAAGAGGACTGCTATGGAAGCAACAGCAGCAGCAGCAGCAGCGCCAGCAGCAGCGCCAGCAAGCGAGGGAAAGGGAACCAAGTTGCGCCGGGAAGCTCGTCACGACGGAGGTGACGATGGACGCCCCCGCCGCCGCCGCAGCCCTGTCCTTATAGTCCTGCTCGGGTGTAGTCCGCGGGAGCAGAAGCGCGCGAACGAGCTGTGCGCGAGATTGGGACAGCACCGCCCTGAGACAGAATTGGTTTCGGGCGCGACACACGTTGTGATTGGCAGCCAGAATACGCGGCCAGCAAACAGCAGCAGCGATGGTAGCAGCAGCGGCAATGGAAGCCGCAGCGGTGCAGTGGTCGACGACGGGCGAGGTTTTGGGGGACGCCACGAGCTCGTGAAGCACGAGGTAGAGGGGTACAGAGAGGCAGTTCTGCTGGGGCTGTGGGTGCTCGATTTCTCTTGGGTGGACGCGTGTCTGGAGGGAGGGGGGGGCGGAGCAGGCAACTCGACGAGTGGCAGCAACAGCAGCAGCAGCAGCAGCAGCAGCAGCAGCAGCAGCAGAAAAAGTGACAGCAACGAGGGCGTGCGAGACCGTCGCGGCGGTGTGTCGTCGTTGATGTCCCCGCCCCGGGACTTCGAGCTCGTCGGGTGTTCGGAGAACCACGAGGGCTGCAAGCCCCGGCGAGGGCGGTTAAACAGGGGCTTCAAGGTGCCTGGGGTTTTCCACGGATATGCCTTCTGCGTTATCGCGGGGGGGGGCGCGGGAGCATCGTTCTCCACAGTCGACGGGTCGCGGTCGGGGTTGGAGCGGCTGCTGAGGCTCGGTGGGGGCGTCATCCTGGCGTCGGTTGCCCCGCGGGCCGCGGAAGGGTTCTGCGACAACCCCTTCGGCTCGGAGGACATGCCCGACTCTGACGATGAGGTGGTGCACGTCGAAGCTGGCAGCGGCGACGGCGGCGATAACGCGGCGGCGGCAAAGGAGAGGATGGTGGTCGTCTTGGCCTTGCCAGACTCTTCAGACGGGCACGGGGTCAGCTTGAGCCTCGCCAAGATCGCGACGGACAAGTGCAGAGAGCTCGGAGCCGCCGCCGCGGTCGACCGGGGGTGGGCCTTGCGGTCCCTGGACAGGGGCTCTCGGTTGCCCTTCGACGGCCACGACCTAAGCGACGACGACGTGCGCAGGCCGAGCGGCCAGCGGGGTGGTGGCTCCTCCAAGCCCGCCGCGAGCCGGCTGAGCATTCCGCGGCGTCGGTGCGGCGATGCCCCCCCTAGGACGGAAGTTTTGCTCGATCTGGAAGACGACGGGGGGCGTCGCTCGGCCATGGCGGAAGCCGTGCGGACGGACCGGGAGAAGACGGCGAGGCTGCTGCGGATAGCGGAGGAGGTGTCGAAGGCGCCGACCAAGCAGGTGCCGGCGTCGGATCCCCCTCCGGGGCTTGGGGCGGATGGCTTCGAGTTTACCCGCAACGGCAGCAAGAAGGTCTGGTGTGCGTGTTGTTTGCTGGTTTTTGCTTTTTTTTGTTGGCCCGTCGTGTTGTGCCTTTTCGGAGAAGGAGTTTTACGAGGTCACTGCAGCAAGACGTGCGGGCGCATCATCAGTTCAGCAGAACAGTAGTAGAAGAAAGGAGAAAGGCAATCAAAACGAAGCATACACCACCGGGCAAGGTGTGCCCGAAAGCAAGAATTTTCTCGATTCCGTCTGAATGCGAAGGCTGGGCTGCACCTATTGGTCCTACATTTTTTGGTTATGAAAACGCTGTGCCCCTCCCCAAGAAGGCCGAGCATTAACGTAGCGTCGAAGATGTGTTGGTGCTACCTTGCTCGTCGATGCGGGGCCTCAGTGTTCGTCTTTTCCCTGTTGGATTGCCGCCGTGTCTTTTCGGCTATTCACCTTCGGTCTCGCTCTCTCGCTCCCTCGCTCTCCCTCTGTCTCCATCTCTGCCTGTCTCTCGTGCCGTGGTGTCTGTTTCTCTCGTGCCGTTTGTCTCACAATCCGCCACAGAAGGCGAAGGGTCCTCCGAACGTGACGACGTTCGCCGCGGAGAACAAGGTACGGTCGGTGCAAGTCCCTTTGTGTTCGGCAAGCGCGCGGTTGTTGTTTTTAAAAGCGCACCGTCGAAAGAGATGCCCCTCGCGCCGAAATGGCGACCTGCGTGTCTGGCAGACTAGTCGACAGCGGTTCTTGTCTTGTATTTAGCCAAGGGCGCGCACGGTGATTATGGGTCACGCTACACGATTACAGGCCGTTTTCTTTACTCCTGCCGTTTTGAGTCGTGGCATCGTTCTTTTGTGTTTTTTCTGTGTATGAGGTTGCACCCAAGTGTGCCGTTCGTTTCCATGGCGGAAAAGAAAAGAAAAAACTTTTTTCATTGGGATGATTTTCTCCTCTTCGAACGAATTGTGCCTTCACAAAGATTACAGAAGTTTCTGGCATGTGTCTGCTTGTATCTATTTCTGCGTAGACGAGGCTTTGCTCGGACTTGAAGAGCCCGTCGATCGTTGCCTTGCGAACGCTCTAGTTAGCGGTACAGAATATCACAGTCTATCCTCTTTGCTTGTTCTCTTCTCTCCCGCCTCAAACGACTCTGCAACGTGCGCCCGACGTGCTCAACACCACACGACAACAGGCCCAGCGGGATCTCAAGGAAGCCTTGCACAAAGCCGGATACCTTGACGCCAACAGCTCGGACCCGGACAAGGAACACAGGCTCGGAGAGTTCTGGTTCGACTTGGTGTACGACGGCTTCTTCATGAAGCGATCGGAGAACGCGATCCCGGAGGCGAAGCGTAGGTGCGTCACCCCCCCCCCGCCTTCCGACTGGCACGCTTTTTTTTCGTAAACACGCCCCAATTTTTGGTTTTCCAACCTCGTGTTATTTTCCGGCGTTAAAATAGAATTGATCGGGTTTGCCTGAGCACAGGGTTTACATACGGGCAAATGCGATGGATTCAATTTCGACCCTGACGCTGGCACGCAGCTCACAGCGCAGCCCGGTACAGATTGCAGCAGTGTTGTGTACAGCAGTGCCAACAGTGCCAAAATATAAACATTGTAACCCTCGCGTGCGGTGGCATATGTGGTCGAATCGTGAGAAAACGGCGGTACTCGCCTTGACAACACGTGCCCGCCCCCCCCTCCCCCCCGCACTCGTTCCTCCCTCCCCTCGCCGCGTTGCCGCCGACGCACGCCTCTTGGTGTTTTTCGGGTTTTGAACAACGCGGCACAACAGGGGCTGCCCGGTGGACGTCCTCAGAGCCGAGTTCGAGAGCCACGATGCCATCCAGACCGATCGCTCCAGGGCCAACGTCGAGAAACTGCCCGGGGAGTTCCCCTTGTGGAAGGCGGGAAACGGCTCGGACGATGCCGTGGAGCTCCTTTGAGGTCGGAGGAGAGCGGAAAGAATGCTTCTGGGGTGGAAAATTATATGCGCGTGCGCGGGAGTGTTGTATTCATTTTCCGTTCCGTCAGTTGGCTCGGTTGTTCTCTTGCCGCGCTCGGGAGTGTGAGCGTGATTTTCATCGATGACTCCATGTTTTGTTCTTTTGCTGTACCCAGCGATGGCTGCGTGGTGGTGGGAAGCGTATCACCCGCGGGTTGGGTTTGGTTAGGAAGATACCGGTTGGGTTTGATTAGGAAGATGTGCTCGTTTTTCTCAGAGTCTATCACGGGCCCACGGGTGGTCGATTGTTGTGTTTAGACGGGAGAAGAGGGCTCACGAGTTTTTTTGTGCTTGTTGGGTTGGGATTGGCAGGCGCTCTATTGGAAAAGGCGCCGTTGCTGTACACTGGTCGTCCGTGAAGGGGGGTTTTCTAGAAAGACTACGATGGCAGAAGAACGAGTTGCTACCTTTTTCCGTTGCCGAGCCAAAGGCCCGTTTCGTATAGTCCCGGGGTCACCGGGGGCAGTCCGTCGTGTGCTTTCAAACTCGGTTGGCGAGCTCGTGTCAGGTTCAGTAGCCTTTACTATGAAAAATGTTTGTGTTCGTTGCTATCCCGGGCGTGTTTTGGTCGCAGGGGTAAACGGGTCGTGTGTGTTGCATCCGATAGGTTACCCGGACGCCCTTTTGGAAAGGGTGTTTTATGCTGCTGGACTCATGGGCGGGGTCACCGAGGGCAGTCCGTCGTGTGCTTTCAAATTCGGTTGGCGAGCTCGTGTTGAGGTTCTGTAGCCTTTACTATGATTTTTTTTTGTTTTCGTTGCTATCCCGGGCGTGTTTTGATCGCAGGGGTAAACAGGTCGTGCGTGTTGCATCCGATAGGTTAGCCGGACGCCCTTTTGGAAAGGGTGTTTTATGCTGCTGGACTCATGGGCGGGGTCACCGGGGGCAGTCCGTCGTGTGCTTTCAAACTCGGTTGGCGAGCTCGTGTTGAGGTTCTGTAACCTTCACGATGAATAATTTTGTTTTCGTTGCTATCCCGGGCGTGTTTTGGTCGCAGGGGTAAACGGGTCGTGTGTGTTGCATCCGATAGGTTATCCGGACGCCCTTTTGGAAAGGGTGTTTTACGCTGCTGGACTCATGAGTGGCTCATGCGAGGAGATTGGTTGCGTATCGCCTTCAGCTCGAAACGCGCTCGTGGAACGGCTTCGTTTGCCGTTGCGCTCTCTCGGTGTGTCTGGATGCAGGATTGGGACGGAAGCCGCTCTTCTTGTAGAAATTGCGTCTTGCAGCCCGTTCCGAACAATATGACTTCTTGCGCGTGTCGTGCGTTTACGACTCGGCTGGCTCGACTTTGTCGCGGGCATGGCGCGTGTTCAGATGCTGGAACGAAGAGATGCACATTTTTGTCGTCGCGATTTTGAGTTGTTTTCGCCTTGGGGTCAGCATGAAGCTAAGCACGAGTGGTATATGCGAGTATGTACGCCGTGATTTTGTTGCAAGGTTTTCGTGCTTCTCCGAATGGGGGGGCTTCAGACGGGTGTGTGTGTGAAATCCTCAAGCTTCGCCGGTCGGTGTTGGTGGAGCGCGGAGCATGAATAGGCAGCCCAGGGGGCGAAGCGCATGATAAGCAAGATGAGAATGTGACGAGGTCCTCTTCCTGGAACCGCAGCAGCTGTGTTGATGTCGCTGGGAGTGCTCGCTGAATGATTGTAGATTGATTATGGTGTTTCGTTGTAGTTGTGTGGTGCCGTTTCCTGTGTTGTTTCTTGTTCTTGTACAGAATGTTTGGCTGTTGTGTTTGTGTTTCCGCAACCGTTGAAGGCGTACGGTCGGCGTTGCAATCGGCCGTGTACTCACACCGGGAGCCCTTTCTCCGACGCTACAATATGGGGCGCGAGGATATCGTGGGTGGTCTTGCGGCGTGGAGGTGGGGGAGACAAACAAGAGAGACACAGACAGAAGCGTGATCTTCGTGCCCATGTTGTAAGAGCATTCATCGGAGGGAGGCGAGGGGGCCAATGAATTCCAAGCAGACATGTTGATACTGCTACATGCTGGGACGAAAAAGGAGTGCGTGCGGAGAGCTTCGAGGTGCGCTTGTCACGTACTCTTAATACCTTAACCGTTTATTCGGCCAACACCAACAGGATATGGTTTCGAGTCTTTCGTGCGGATCTACAGACAGCACTGCTTCCCGGAGGACACAGGTGAGGTACGACAGTAGTCGTATCCGTGTACTAACATCATGTACCATCAGAGGGCGCGCGGCTAGCTAAATTCACGTCTTGGAGATGGGTCCGAGACTATGTAATCCGACTTTTGTGTTCTTTATGGACATAGTTGTTGCCGTTTGGTCTGTGTACCGCTTCACTCTTCCCCGCAAAGGTTTCGTTCCCACCGGGCCCCTCTCGTGACCACCGATATCTATGTACGCACGTACGTATTCGATAACACTTGAAATTCACATATTTTATCAGTCGATATCCTTCGTTGTATGCTTGATAATGTGCACAGGTGGAATGAATGCTTGCCTCGCCCCCTCGTGCACCCGACCCGCAAGAACACCTGTCATCTCAAACTTGCGAACCACTCTTCTTCTGTCTGGTGGAATCGACGGGGGAGGGTCTGCCGCGGATCCTGCGACGGGATTGGACTCATGCACTCTTCTTTTTGGTTCGAGCGTTTCACTCATCATTCATATTGACTTCTATACTTCCTTACCGACAGATGATTATGCCGTTTCTATGTAAATGAACTGCGGGACAGAAGGAATTGAGTATGAAGGATTCACCAGATCCAGCAGTGCGCAGTATGGATACCCTCTACTCTGGGTGAGCGGAGAGTCCGAGGTTGTGGTGGCTATGTCCTGCCACCGGAGGTTGGCTATTTCCTTTGGTGCAATGTGGCGAGGAATGCCAAGCGTGACCGAGCGAACTCAGTCAAGCTAGGGTGGTGCGGAGATTGGGCGAGCCTTCGTGGACTCCTTTTCCCGTTCTCCTAAAGATCCATCAACTATTCGCAGCCGTTGAGGGTCATAAGAGTTGGGGACCCTCGGAGAACAGTAATCTATTACTCCATATTTCCCAGTCAGATCCTACTCTCTATGTACGTGTATCTGTGCTCCCTGAATCTCCATATCCTGACCTCCACATAGCCCCCCCTTTTCTTCGCCGAAAGCTCAGCTTGTTGAAGTTGGGTTCGCGCACATGCATGTTTGCATGTTTCTTGTAGTGGGGCAGGTATGCATGTATCGTTGGATCCAGATACTAGTCTACAGCTTTTCGAAAATTAAATCGCTCCCTCACTAGACTATCCGAAGACAGCTGACAGTGCCGTGTGGAATACACACGTGTTGGAAACAACACCGTACGGATTTAATCTCTGCAAGGCTCGTACCAGCTACCAGGCATTGATGTCAATCAATGATGTGTCAAAGCTTATTCTTGTTAAGTATCAAGAATTTGTAATTTGTGCGGGTTCTGGTTCGCGTAACCATACCGCTGGGTGTAAGCAATCGTGTTGCTTATTGAGTACAATAGGAATACGGTGTTCGACAGTCGTGAGACTGTTTCCGTGACTCATGGTTAGTGTCATCGAGTGGCGACCCTCAATTCCACTTGAGACCGGTTAGCTTGACACTTCCTCGCCAGCATTTGACCTAACCAAATGCTGGATAGCAACCTTATTGTTTGGATGCTATTCCTTTCACCGTTTAGACACTTTGGAAATGTATCTTTTGTTTGCCTTCGGACTTCGTTTACTTTTCCGCTGAGTACTTTTCTTATTCACGCATTTTGCTGGCTTGGGACACAACGTGTCTGGCCTTGCTTTGTGCTTTGCGCGTTTGCTTGTACTCGGATCCCTACCTTCGTCGCGTTTTCGTTTCGCTTTGTTCTGCGGCACTTCGGACGATTTCTTGGCGGGAGCGATGTCCAGATTATGTTTTGATCTGTACGCGGAAATCATTTCGTGGCATTGCGGCACTTCGTCGGCACGATACATCAGATCTGATGCAGGACCGTATCCTTTCAGTCTTATTAGACGATATCGACAGCAGTTGTGCGGACCTTTTCGGCCTTGACCGCTTCGATGCCCTACCACTTTCAAGACGACGTATCTTTCAATTTTCGGTTGATTTTCGTCGTTTACTGTCAGGGCGGGTAAGGGAATTTGTTTCCCAAGGAAATATTCCGCCAGTTTTCCAAACTGTGGTGCTGGTGGTTTTTCCCTTTCATGGTACTGTTTTAGATGGGC